AACATGCAGTTATGGAGGGAGAGATGTACAATAATATATAGGTGGAGATGAACTGGTCCAATGGAAATTAAGTCACCATCTACTGTTATGGTGTAGGATCTGAGGGAGCAACCGGGGCGCCAATGGAGTTGTTGGTGGATCGTGCAAACGCATAATGTGATGTGGGGTGTATCAGATAGGACATTAGTCGTTTCCCTTGTCGCAAAGATAGATCTAACAGTATGTTTGTGAGAAAACAATCACTACTACACAAATAATTCTGCAAGACGATGCTCTTTTATTAACGGAGGCGGTCACAAAATTCAACCGCCTCGGTTAATCCCTGCGATTAACGGAGGCAGGCATTTTTTATTTACGAAAACGGTCATCAAAATAATCTATTTTCGGTACATTTTCGGAGGCGGGCGTGCAATATGGCCCACCTCAAAAAATAGTGGCCCAAACAGCCCATACCTCGGCCCGATATCGCACTCATCATATATATATAGGGTGAGTTAGGGTTTCGGTTCCCCTCCACTCTCTCCCTCTCCCTACCGAGTCAGATGCGGCGCCCTCTCTCCCTCACGCGTCATCGCTCTCCTCCCTCCACTCTCTCTCCCTCCGGCCCTCCCTCCACTCTCTCTCTCGGCGCCGCAAGGCTCTGGCCATGATGGTCGCCCAAGGAGGGCCTCCCCATCTCCTCCCATTGTGCGGGCGGGGGATACTGGCGGTGCTTGCAACCAGGGGGGCGGATCCGACGTGTGCTCCTCCTCCTCTCCACCATGGCGGGCTCCCCTCTCCCCCCAAGCCGCGGATCCACCACGACGCGGGCGCTCCTCCTCAACCCTTCTGAGATCCTGCGGTGGCGCGGCCGGGGAGGTTGGATCTGGCGCGCGCTCCTCCTCCTCTCCACCATGGTGGGCTCACTCTCCCTCCCAGCACGCGGATCTGGTGTGCACTCCTCCTCCTCGTGGTGGCGGTGGCCTGCTCCCCCTCCACCACCTCCGGATGCGACGGGAGAGGGTGCATGCGACGGCTGCGGGCGGATCTGGCGGCGGGCGGCCAGATCCTGCGGTGCGCGCGCGCGGTTCAGGCACCAGCGAGCGGCTACGGTGGCGGCCCGTGGATGGGCTTCGGCGGGCCTGTGGATGGGCTTGGCGGGCCTATCCACGGGTTTTACTTTTTTTTGTATTTCCTGTTTGATTTACGGAGGCGGGCAAAGCAACCGCCTCCATGAATCCGGCATTAACCGTGACCTTTGATTTTAGGCGATTGCAATGCCCACCTCCATTAATCTAAAGTGCCCACCTCCATTAAAGTTTTTGTAGTAGTGAATGATGCTAGGGAAGACATTATTTACCGAGAAAACCTAGAACAAACTTGTCTCCCTTTGTATATGTAATAGTAAAAACTATGTATCTAGAAAAGTCAATCTGGCTTATATAATTTAAAACGTAGGGAGTACAAAAGTTGTGCATCATTTTCTTGATAAAGGAATGATGAGAATATGAATATATTGGATGGTCTCTGGAGCCCCATGAGCTGTCTATAGCACATTGCGGTTATACATCCTAGTGATATGGATGGGAACTAGTAGTGTTATCCTACCATGACAGCCTAGATATCCTTCCACTCTATCTTAGAGAAGACATCATATACCATTTCAAACTGTACTATGCAATGTGCACACCAAATTAAAATCAAACGAGGAATACTCATGAAAAAAAAACAAATTGAACTTACGAGGGTGGCACTGGGCATGACCTGGCTGATGGCGGCGTGGGTTGTGGCGAGGGCGACCGGTGGCCAAGGGCAGCACGGCTCGTGGCAATTATGGTCGCATTGAGTAGGGCGCAGCTACGCGGTGAGGACATGGTACGGCCAGGGGCGGATCCATATTTACTTTAGGGGCTGCGGTCGCACCCACATAAAAATAAAAAAATAGTTAGAACCAATTTTTTTACCATATATACACAAACACATTGAAAATCCTTGCACTCACAAGGCGAGCACACCCCTCTCAAATTTGCTCAGCTCCGCTCCTGGGGCCACGACAACACCATGCGGCGCAAGACCCAAGGGGCTTGAGCAGCGCCGGTGTGGGAAGAGGACGGCCCGACGCACATGCTGCTTGTGACAGCGACGATGTGATGGTGAATGCAGCAAGGGAGAAAGGAAGAAGAAGATGGTGTGGGCAATGGGTGACATGTGATCCCCTTGACTAATATAGTTACTAACGGTGTTGAAAACATCATCCATCCCATGTAGTCCAATCCTCCAACCAAACAATAAACTGGGACGGTGCCATGTGTTCAACAGCAAGAGCTATGACAGCCTTATCGTTAAAAAGCAAAGACAGATTGATCCCATTCCACTACGCCTCCAACCAAACCAAACACACGCTAATAGAAGACTGTACTATGCAATATCACACCAAAACCAGACAAGGAATCCTCATGAAAAACAAATTAAAATATGATGGGGGAAATCAAATATAGAGGGGTAAATAACCAAAGGAAAATAAAGTGTACAGAAAGCGGATGAGAATCAGCCTGTTTGTTTCGTCGTAAACGATCGTGGATTATTTACTGCTAGCTGGTTTGGTGTGGGAGAAAAATACTATTCCAACTTATAATCCACGATCATATACGAGCAAGCGAATAGGTGAATGCTGACTAGGGTCACCAGTCTTCATCTGCGGAAGCATGTGATGAGACCTTTTAGAATCTCCTACAGACCAACACCATGTGTTGTGCATCCAGTGTTCCCACGTGGCCCCGTCCGTTTCGCTGAAAAAAAAAAGCTGAAATATTGTTCCGCCTAATTTGTTACGAGAGAAAAACACTGTTCTGGTTGAAAAACACAAACTGAAAAGTATGGAAGCAAACGTGACGATGGTGAGCAGTGAGCTAGCACCAAGTTGAAAGCCTCTGATGACTGATGAGCCACGAGCATGAGAATGTGAGATGCTGATGGAGATGCACTGTTGAACGCCGCATATTCTGTGGCAACTGGCGACCAAGAGGCATGTCGCGCTGACCGGTCAAATTGTACGACGATGGAGTAGAATTTTCGCAGGACAGCAGGAGCTGCGTGGGTGCCTTGAGCTTGCACACTGCAGGACATATTGTTGTTTAACTCGTGTAAGTTGCTTGGTGTCAGCGTCGGCTGAGCCTGTTCGGTTGGCCGGTGAATCTTGTAAACGGTCGTAAATTTATATTTGAAATAGTATTTTTATCTTACACCGAATCAATTAGTAATAATAATTCATGATTCAGCCACGAAACCAGTCAGCCATCTGAACATGCCGCTGGAATCTTGGTGCTTTGCTTCTCACTGACCACTGACCGATGCACGACGACATTAATAGCATGTTCGTTTGGCTGTGGCTTGTCGTAAATGATCATAAATTTTCAGTCGGAATAGTATTTTTCTCTCACACAAACCAGCCAGCAGTACTTCTTCACGAACCAGCAACGATATGAACCAGCCAACTGAACAGGCGGATTGACAATTTGGCATTGACAGTTTCAGTCTTCCCTCTTGTGGATGATGTGAGCAGGAATTCTGGTAGTAGTATATCTCTCTGAAACTAGTTCTGGATGCACTTGCATAAGCTAAGAACAATCTCCATACTCTTTGAATTTTATTAAGCGTGGCTTAATCTAGATTGCCAAGATCACGCATGCTCCTTGCTCTTAGACTACGCGAGATTTGATTCTCCATTTTTCGGGGGCTTCTGGTGGAAACAGCACAACCAACAGACAAGCCAAAGTGAAAGTGATGCATGCATCTCATCCAACGTTGTTTTCCGACCGTTGTGGCAGTATTTTTAAGAACAGCAGTACGCATACAGTACTAACGTTCCGGCAGCACATTCACATGGACTGGTGTCTGGTGTACAGACACATTATGATGAGTATGACAAGGCAAAAACAATCAGTATCGGCTCATGATGTGTGTTGACAGTGCTGTGAGCCTGTGACGGTAGTGAAAGCAGACTGCTGACTTGGCATGGACTTGGTACGCATCACCTCGAACGGCATCGCTGAAAGGTGGTTGTTCTTCCGGACGCAGGGCCCCGCGGAACACGGCGTGCCGCCCAGCGAGTCCGGCTCCGAGGCCGGGAGCACCGCACCGCACCGTCCAACGGCGGCTGCCGAGGTTCATGTTCCTTCCCCTCCTCGTCCCCGCGCGGCCTCGGTACTCCAAAAAAAAACATCGTTGCCGACTAGCTCGTCGGGACGCGTACAGCGTACTCCGCTTCACGCCGGCCGGCCGATCCGCCAGCTGACAGTTGATCCCCGCACACACAAAACCCAACGGAACAGCATCCAAAGTCCCAAACACACAAATAGAGTAATCTTGTCAGCACCAGCAGGAGTAGGACGAGTAGCCAACAAGCTCCCTTGATTCCTGGAGGCAGCGCATCTTGTTTTGGCGCCGCCGAGGAGGAGCTAGCGAGCTGCTCCATCCATCGCTAATCATGAGTTCATCTCCTTTGGAGGCAAATGCTCTGTTGACTAATTTATTATTAGAAACAAATACCGTTCGTTCACTTAAAAAAAATACGGCCAAGCGACGGAAAGCTACTAGGTCGAGTAGCCACGAAGAGTAGTTTGATCGGAGCCAGCCATTATATATATTTCGTGCGTTATCCTACCCAAAAAGAAGCAGAAAACACCACACCTACTCTGCTCTGCTCTGCTCTACTCTACACTCTACACTGCCCCCGACTCGCCGCGCCGTATTTTATTCGCGCAACCACGTCCGGACCACATGGGCACGAACGGGAAACCACGCGCTGCCCACTGTCACGACGTACCGGGCGAACCACCCACCACCCGCTCCCCGCTTCGTTCCACTCACTCCACCGCTCAACTCCCTATAAATCACACGGTCGTCACTCACTCTACCGCGGCACCACCATTCCACCACCCATCATCTTCAGTTTCCCCCGCTGCAACTCCGCGTCTCCAAGATCCCGTTCGGCACGAACCAGTGAGTCAGTGACGACTGCGATGGCGGATGCCGGCAGCAGCGCCGCCGCAGCGAGGAGGGGCCCGTCGTCGTCCTCGCGCGGGTGCGCGCCGGCGCTGGGGCGGCTCGTGCGGAAGCTGCGGCGGCAGAGCAGGCTGCTGTGCGCGGCGCGCCACGCCTCCGCGTCGTCGTCCGCGCGGTGCTGCCACCAGTACGACCCGCTCAGCTACTCGCGCAACTTCGACTTCGGCACCGCGCTGGACGGCAACGAGGCCTGCTCCTTCGCCTCCCGCTTCGTGCTCGCCGCCTCCACCGCCGTGCGGCAGCCGCAGTAGATCAGAATCAGACTCGTTCCCGGTTCGATCGGGAGCTAGCTAGGGGGCTGCAATCACTGGTGGCGCGTCAACCATTGGTGGTAGCTGATAGCTAGGTGGTGGTAGTAGAGAGTTAGGCAGGCGCGGTGTTCTTGTACAATTATTAATCTTGTGTTGTAGCTGGTGAATGGTGATGGTGATGGTTGTAACAATTTCCCGCCGTCCCCTGACTCCTCTTCCTGTGGTCGACAGAGTCAGAGAGGAATCGGCCAAGAGGAAATGTCTTAAGTAATTTCGAAAGATTACACGCTTAATGCTGCTTCGTCTACATCCTCTCCATCGACCGGCTCTTGAGTTTTCTCGTGAGTCATGAAATTTGTTTTACACCATACTTTTGCTAAGCTGTGGACGAGATGGCAATTGGCATGCTGCAGAAGTGCAGATCCTTGGCCCTTTTTCCGGATTAGCTTCCTGGTCAGTGCTAATTGTCAGTGATCTCTGATTTGTTGGTCTGCAACAATAGCACAGGACAGTTTGTTACTCCAGTCGAGTGCAGTGACTGACGCAGTGAGTGATGCACGGCGAGATGGGGCAGCAGCACGCGGCAGGATGGGCATGGTGGGCTGGTGGCGACCGGGATGACGGAAGCTAGCTGCGAGATGGGGGCGAGGCGAGGCTGGCAACGTTTGATTGCATCCAGTGAGTTGTCGGTGGCAGTACAATTATTGCTTGCTCGCTGCCCCTGCTGACTCGCCGCAGTCACGGTCACCACCGCTGCACCACCGTGATTCTTCGCATCCAAGAAGACTGCCCCGCGTGCCCCACGAGATGATGCATGCACCGATCAATGGCGAGGCGCCGAGGCCGCACTGTAGCAGCGTCCAGTGCTCCAGTCTATAGAGCGCCTTTGCTCTGCATATGGGCTCCGTCGGTGGGGCCTGAGTACCCAAGGCTTCCACCTCTGTAAGTGCCAAGAAACCAGTATTTCTCCGTCCGCGGTCATTTGGTGCGATTCCTTCCAATCCGGAGCCGAGCTGCTGGCGGAGCATGAGCTGAAACTGCACCATTATTTTGCCATGTTTAAGCTAAGTCTTAATTTTTTTTTTGTTGGAGAGAGGATTTTTCATGTTTCTGTATTTTTAAAAAACGAAATGATTCCTAAAAAGCTCTAATTCATCGCAAGATTTCCTTCTTTTCTTGCCACGGTGCAAGCTGAAGATTATTTTGAATTTGTCCATTGAACTTTCAAGCCCACACCTCTCTGCCTAAATGGACCCACTGCTGCAATTGGACACTCCCATTTTGGGCCTAAAAGGGTGTTCTTTGGTTTTTTCCCCCCATCCGCGTAAAGTTGAGTTTATTGAGCCCATAATTGCATGGTAGGTTTGGGAAGGCCTCGGCCCAAATTATGGACAACAAAGGAGTATCTGACGGATACCATTCCTTTCACAAAAAGAATCTGACGGATAGAAACGTAACTAGAAAGCAACGCCCTCTTTTGAGCCAGTTGACTGATGCATAGCGTTGTTGTGATCTCATTGGTTGCTTCTTTTTTATAAATCATCGATGGATAATTTGTGAATTTTAGCACTGTAATAGAACTGGTAGCAGGCAATTCGTCATGGAAGAATATTAGTGGATGTAGTAGTTGATTGTACTTTGTTGGATCATCATCACATTAATTGTGGAGAAATTTACCTACATAGCCCTCTTAAAACTCAGGCTTCCTTTCTTGACCCTGAAAATTTCCAACTTACCTATTTGGTCTTCAATCCGACTTTCAATTCCTTATCTGGTCTTCCCGTCAATTCGACCCTGTAATGGTGTTAGATGAGAGACGAAAAGTCGATTCTACCCCTGGACGCGAAAGCATCGTTTTTGATAGTTTAGAATTCAGTTTTTGATATTTTATAATTCAAATTCTGTAATGTTCGTTTTGTAGATGCTTGTAAATTGCATATGTTTCATTTTGAGCATTATTTTCACTTCTTACACATAATTTTAGAACACATCATAACTACAACATTAGCACGCATTTTTTTCCAGACATGGAGCCAATTGCACATATAAATTCAGTTTGCACATTTTTTATATCTCAAATAAATTCAGTTCGCACATACTGGACATCTAAAATAAATAGAATGATCTAGCAATAAAACAAACTGACATGATTATGGCTACTTCATTTCATTCTTAAAGTCATGAGACAATAGGAGCTCAAAGCAAAACAATCGCAGCGGCATAGGTCAAGCACAAGATACTCTGAAACCAAAAAAAAACCCCACATATGCAAACACATTAGCATTGCGACTGAATACTAGAACAAAAGACTTCAGTGTTCTTATTAGAAACACAAGACTCACGGACAAACCAGGGAGTGAATTTCTACCAGATATATTTTTACCATATTCTTTTGGCTAGCATCAACAGCACATAACATAAATCCACTTTGAATTCTGGCCAAATATATTCCATTCATCTACAATTAAAGATTATATTACCCACAAGGAACCAAAAATTTTTACGACCAGATTATCACAGCAAGAACACAAGACACTTAACAAGTTTTTTTAGGAACAACGGCAGGTGCTCGCCTTTTCATTATAGTACAGGAAACAAAACAGTAAGTTCAGGAGTTTCCTACAAAAGACGAGTAGAGAAAGGGAAAAAATGAAGTTTCTCTTCCAGCATCCTAATCTAAGTGCAAACTGCTGCTTCATCCTGGCTCCTCCACGGTTCAAAATGTACTGCTCCAATGAAAGTCTCATAAGTCGATTTCGACAAATACTGTCCAGTAGCTGAGAACCTTTTCTGAACGGTCATTAGCTGAGAACCTCCATCGATGCTTGTCCAGGACGCCCAACATTAGCTACACTTAGTTGTCACATACACAAGCTAGTGCTACACACATGAGAAATCATAGGCTGAGCCTTCTTTTACTTCTTGTACTCATTGCCGGGCTAGCAGGCTGAGAAGTTTTGCTTCGTGTGGCCATTGCGGGGCTGTCAAGTATCACCTTTGGCTTGTTTACCGCCTCTTTGCCAAGCACTTTCTTTTTCATTTTGAATGTGACCTTTTTAGCCTTGGCCTTCCTAGGTTGATCTGTGTGGGCAGGGAAATCAATGGAAAGTGCCTCGGGTTGATTGGAGCCACTCCTTGACCTGGACATGTGAATATAGGGCAGCAATGATTTTTAGCAAATAGAAATATGAACAATGAAAAAAATTCAGAGTTGGAAATAGTACCTTTTTGATGTGCCTGAGTTGGAGCTACCATATTTCCCCTTTTTCTTACTTGATATCTCCATGGATTGGTTGTGGTGAGAGACAAGCAATCTATTTAGTATCTAAGACAAATAGTCATTCATGATGGCATAAATTCATATTTTCAGCACTAGTGATAAGTACCTTTTAGATGTGTTGGGAGTACAATCAACAGATTTTCTCTTTTTCTTAGCAGTAGTTTCCAAGCTTTGACTATGGTGAGACAGTAGGAACATAGAATCAATCATAAGTTTGAAGTGAACATGGGAGTAAGTTTGACATTGCAAGGGATATGAAATTGCAAACCTTGGTGGAAAAGACATGGATGCAGATGGTGCTTCTTCCAAAGGCATAATGGAACTTTCAGTAGATTTGTTGTTTTTTGCCCTCTTCTTTGGTTCTCCTCTGTAATGTCAAAAATAAGAAAGTCACTAATATGTCTTTTATTAAAAGCAGAGAAAGAGTAGACAAATTATTACTTGATAGCTTTCATAGCAGCAATGTCTTACGGTCTTCCTCGCTTGCAATTATGCCAATGATGTCCGTAGTCCATGCAAATAGGGCATTGGTGCTTTGGCCTTTACTCCTTTTCTTATCAGAGCTACCTTTGTGCCTCTCTGTTTTTAGGCCTACCACTCTGGCTTTAATAGAGGTGGGTGCATGAAAAATCATGAGTAGATTTCGCCATTTGAGTCTTGTCGGGCATAGCAGGGATAAGTTGACTATATGCAACTCTAAACTTCTCAATGCGATAATACATGTCAACATATTGCTCTATTGGTGCATTGCTAAGTGATGTGATGAATGCGAGTGCATGCTTGCAAGGAATTCGAAACACCCGCCAATCGTCGACAAGAACATGTCCTCTCAAGTAGGTTAACCACAAACCTGAAGCCACTACCACCCATTCTTTGTTATTTCACCCACATGTTCTCCGCATTCTAGCACTTCCAAGTTTAATTCTCTACTGGCCTCATTCAATTTCTTTATTATGTGAGGTAGAATCAAGCCATCAAGTTTCTTTCCTATTTTTCTCCTTTGGTTCCACTTGGTCATAAGCAGTTGCCTAAACTTGTCCATGAAATCATCCAAGTTTAGGGACTTGTGATGCTTAATCCAATTGTTGAAAGACTCTGCAAGGTTGTTGATTACGTAGTCTACCTTGCAAATGGTGGAGAATTGGCTCCTAGTCCACAACTTCTTGTGACACTTCCTTAGATAATTAGTTGCAGATGGCTTTGCTTTCTCCATTGCAACCCAATGTTTCTCAAACAAATATGGGTTCCATGAGTAAGCTGCTGCCCAAAGATGATCATTAAACACCTTTCCATGGAACCTTTTTTTGAAGTTGCTCACCAAATGAAACATGCATTCTCTATGTTCAGCCCCTAGAAATACTTCACCCACCCCTGTCATCACTGCCTGTCCAACATCCATGCATATGGCTAGACCCGGTGGTGATCCTATGCCCTGTCTAAGCTGACTCAAAAACCAAATCCAATTCTCGTTAGTTTCTAAATCAAAAATTCCAATGCAAACAGGATACAACCAATTATGCCCATCAACAGCACAAGCGCTAGGCAGTTGCCCCTTGAACTGGCCAGTCAAGAATGTGCTATCTATTGCTAGGTACGGTCTGCAACCATTGAGGAACCCATCTATGCAAGGTTTGAATGCAATGAAGAATCTTCTAAATCTTATCTTTCCATTAACAGTATGATGGTCAATAATTACTAAGCTACCAGGACAAGAAACCCC